TATGGTAAGGGGTGTAACATTTCCGTCACACGCTTGAGCTTTTCGGCCAATCACAACGCACTGGATAGTTGGTTAATCAGAGCACACCTCGCTTTTCAGACCGATTAGTTTTGTAAAAATCGACGCGTTTCAGAAAGGCGGGGCATGAGAGAGAAACAATAATGTACAGTATGTGGAAAATAATGTGTTTTTTTAACCTTAAACCGCATAAACACATTTCATTACACCAAATACACAAAATAATGTTCTTTTTAGCAGCATCATATGACCCCTTTAAGTTTTAGTTTGTCAGTTTAACTCAGCTAGTTTTCACTGCAACATTTCAAAAACTTTTTTTTTTGTTTTTAATATTTAGATTTAATTTCTGCTTTATTTTTTCAATTAACGATTCAGATAATAGTTCTAGTTTTAATTAACAATAACAACACCGCTTGCCTTTAAGATGAACGCACAGACAGCCAAGACTTAATGAGCTCACCTGCTGGCAGATGCTGGCGTAGCGAGCCAGGACGTTAGCGTTCTCCATGATGGCTAACTCTGAAGGAGTGGTCTCGCTGATCTTCAGCACAGACCTCCACTTGGCAAAGTCAGCACCGTCTTTCTTATACTGAGCACAGCGTTCTGACAGGCCATCAAGCCCTTAAGAAAAACAGGTATCACTTTAACAAATCATCATTATTGCCATCAATTTTAGCAAATATTATATCAGCAACTGTAAGCTTACCCTGTGTGGTGGTCTCTCCATTTGTTCCTGCCAGAGGGACGACACCTTTGTCAACCTGTAAAAGAGGACAACCTGCTTTAGGATCAAAATGTCATGGCAGCATTGCTAATAGTCCAGGGCCCTCATTTATCAACAGTGCGTACGCACAGATGTGAGTGCATAAGAACAGTTTCACGCAAAGTGTGGGATCTACCAACTTGTACTTATTACTTAGGAATGTGTGTAAATATAAGCACATCTCTGAGCATGCTTACGCAGAGAATCTAGTGGTAGAATGGCGATACTACAAAAAGAAAGTGGCGCCGCAAGTGTCATGTGTCTTATAATTGCAAATGCTCAATTAATAATTTCATATTTCAAGCTAAACATTTGATTACTTACTGGTGTGCGTAAGAACCGCGTGCACACGTTTGATAAATAGGGATTTTTTTTGTACTTACATTCTAAATTTCATTTGTAGGATAAAATATAGAACCTTTTCTACGCACTCTTGATAAATGAGGGCCCAGGAGTCCTGACTGTATTTTCCAATAACTATCTTAAAAATAAATGTTGAACTATGCCGTATTTACCTATAAACTATAAATACAAAGAAAATGATACAAATATAATATTTCAAATATCTACAAACATCTTCAAGCAGCTAAAAAGGTCTAATTAGAGAACACCTTGTTGTGTCAAACATGAACAACCTGATTTAACCTAATAATCTTATCCTAATCCTTCACCTACATGCCTACTTATTTAGGTTTCAGCAGCCAGCTCCCGCCTCTTTGCCCATTTTCGATTATCCGGGAGTGACGCGCTGCCAAGATGGCGACGGCTGGCTCCGCCTACTTTAGGCTTCAAAACGCTCGTCTGAAGTCTACGGGTCACGTCACGGACACTACGTCCATGTTTTTATACAGTCTATAGATAAAACTAGCGGTTTCTCCAGTAATGGCTGTAATCAAAGCAGCTCCGCTCATGAACGCTTCTTTATCAGATCAAATGAAAATGCCATCGAAACTTTTCTGAAGACAGTCAATTCCCTTCAGAGATACATTCATATAAAACACCCGCGCCGTGTTATGATTTTGAAACGTGCAGTGCTCATGTTTATTCAACGAAGTCAAACGGCACAAATAAATCAATGTATGGGAAACACTGGTAATGTATATCGAAATATCGGAAATGTGTTTAAAAATCATATCACCGTTATTGAAAAAAATTATTATACATATTGATATTGAATTATTGTCCAGCCCTACACACACTACTCAAAATTTAGGAGCTGGTTGGTTCTGCTCTTGAAAGAAGTCTATTATGCTAAAGGTTGCATTTATTTGATCAAAAATACAATAAAAAAATGTGAAATATTATTACAATTTAAAAAATCTTTTTACCGTTTTATTATATATATATTAAAATGTAATTTATTCCTGTGATGCAATACTGAATTTTCAGCATCATTACTCTAGTCTTCTGTGTCACATAACCCTTCAGAAATGATTCTAATATGCTGGTTTACTGCTCAAGAAACTTTTCTTATTATTATCATCAGTGTTAAAACACTTGTGCTGCTTAATATTTTTGTGGAAACCATGACACATCTCTTCAGCATTTATTTGAAATAGAAATTTTTAAATGGCTTTAATGTCACTTTTGATCAATGTAATGCATCCCAGTTGAATAAAATCATTAATTTAAATCAAATTTTGTACCTTGATTCCCACAACCATGCCCCTGTTCTTGATCATTTTGGCAAAGGGTGTGCCATCATCAGCTTTCTGGTAAAGGGTCTCGTGGAAGAAGATGACACCACCAATGCACTTGTTTATGCGCTCGTCAGCAGTGAAAAGGATCTGGCGGTATAGACGGCGGTTTTCCTCTGTGTTCTCGACGCCAATGGGGTTCAGGCGCTTTGCCATACTACCTGTATACATGCAGACATACACATCATTGTGTTAGAGGGACTGCCAGAAAGCTGTTTGCTGCATATTTCATGTTTGGAACAACATGAGGGGAATAAATTATCATACTGAAAGTGTTATTTCCATATAAGATGCAACCCTCACTGACCTGTGGACTCATCTGCAGCAAGGATGCCCTTCCCAGGAGCTACGATACGCTGAGCGATGTCCTGGAGCTCCTTCTTCTGCTCAGCTGTGAGTGCGGGGTACTGGTGCGTCATGTCTGCGGCTCAAAGCAACCTGCAACAGAGGAATGGCAGAGACACAACTGTCATTTCATCCATCTTATATATATTTCTATCATGACAACTCTCGGAGGGTTTGGCATGGTAATGTACATGACACTGTTAATGTGTTTAGTCTTGGTGGAATAGATCTGCTACGCTGCTGCTGCTGCAGAGTAAGTACCAAGACTTGCTACGGCCAATACATCCACAACATGCTGATGCAAGCATGTAAGAAACAGGCCTGTACATGTAACATATGAAATAACCCCCATATACGGCATACATGAATCACCCCATAGCAGACCTATACAGGTGGAGCTGGGGAAGGTGGAGGGTTTCTGAAGCGCTACAGCAAGCATTAGCTGTGTATTTGAATGCTGAACAGCAAGGTCACTGGCCGCTGATACAAAAGGAACCAATCAGCTGTTTCATGCCAGAACTTTGGAGAAATACACACACACACACAGGTTTGTTTTTATGGTTTATGGGGACTCTCCATAGGCGTAATGGTTTTTATACTGTACAAACCGTATTTCCTATGCCCTACACCAACCCTACCCCTAAACCTACCCCTCATAGGAAACTTTCTGCATTTTTAGATTTTCAAAAAAACTCATTCTGAATTATTTATAAGCCTTTTGAATTATGGGGACACTGAAAATGTCCTCATAAATCACCTTCTCGTTGTAATACCTATGTCATACCCATGTTATTATACAAATTTGTGTCCTCATAAATCACATAAACATGCACACACACACACTATTGTTCAAATATTTGGGGACATTAAGATTTTTGTAATGATTTTGAAAAACTAAAAATATTAACATTGTAAAATATGCTTAAAATAACTTACAATTAAGCCAATAAAATAAGCAATTTAAAATAACCATTTTCTATTTTAATATATTTTTAAAATGTAATTTATTCCTGTGATAGCAAAGCTGAATTTTCAGTATTATTACTCCAGTCTCCAGTGTCAAAAGATCTTTCAGAAATCATTCTAATATCCTGATTTGGTGCTCAAGAAACATTTCTTATTATTAGCAATGTTGAAAACAGTTGTGCTGTTTAATATTTTTGTGGAAACCATACTTAAAGAGCTACACTATGGCTCTTGATTTGGGAATCAGACCATGGCTTGAATGGGAAATTGGCAGTGCTTTCTGCTGCTTAGAAACACTACTTCACCCAAAGAAAGTCACACAAGGAACAACTATTTGTCTCCTGGAAACGTCTGACTGCTGGCTATGGATAAACAAAACTGTGCCTCATTATTCAAGGTATCTAAAAGGGTCTGGTTAATATTCCGGCCCACTCTTCCTCACAAGCTCTTCAGCGAGGCTGAGTTGCATAATAACGTGGACTAAAGCCAGCGTCTTCCATCGCTGTTATGCAATCACACTCTCTAATCTCTGCTGTCAATCCCCATTAGACATGCCCCACTGTCTGTTACTACATGGTATTAGATTGGCACAGCATTTCATTAAAAGGGTTTGGCTACTTGTGTAAAAGAAGTACAATTTAGAATACTTAAAAAAAAAGTACTTATTATGGAAATAATATATTTTAAAAGATAAATAATTGTGAACTGAATGTAAATGTTTTACTTAACTGCATGCTAATTGCACTTAAATCAAAATGCATTATAGTTTAATTTTATATTTAATGCAATTAGCTGAACATAAGAGTGCTTTAAATGTAATACTGAATAATAACCTACATTTAAAACTATAATCAAGTGCATGTTCTTTAGTGTTTGTCAACTTCTTAACGCACAAAATGATTAATTATAGATTAAAATAATGATTTAAAATTGATGTTAAATTAAAAAGGTTTAATTAGAAATGATTACAAAGTGCTCTTTGTAAAGTCCACCAAAATGTTTTAAGAAAGAGTAATGAAAATTGACTTATTTCATTGATATTATGTTATCTGATTGTATATTTTAAATATATACTTCTTACACTTCTTTTACACAAAGGTTTTTTTTTCACTCAATAATCACTCTGTCACATTTCACCATAAATATCGTTCATATTGACACTGGAGTTTCTTGCTTGTCTAAATCCCTTCTATGCCTGTATACTGATTACATTGGTTGAGTGCTCCCCCATCTCTGTGCTGAATGGAACAAGCCAAAACCGGCACAGACTGGCTGGTCTGTGTTGATATAAATCACAGTTAGATGCGTTGTGACCCCAAACACACCAGCTCATGCACAGAACTCATGGAATAAAAGAGAAAACCAACCTATCAAGAAACACAGAATAATTTAATGTTATATTGTCCTTAACGGCTAGTTAGAAAATCAGAGATAATCCTCTCATTTTAATTAGAGACTAAACTAATCAGTTGATTTCAAGCCAGTTGTTGTTTCTCTAGCATCTTAACTATTGTTTTATTTCTTTGCTGTCATATGGTTTATCACAGTTTTACTGAAGTGACAGGAGAGCTCACTCTGTGAATGAATCCGGCTCATTGTATTTGTTGAACAATGGAAGTTTCCACAGAAAAACACAGCCTACGGCTGCGGCTCACCGCATTCAGAGCACATTTTCAAATATTTTTTGCAAGGGATGCGTCATGACATGCTCCTACCATTCCACTGAGAAGAAAACAGGCATCTGACATATTGAAGGAGTCTTCATTGACTGGCATTATTTTGAGCAATGTTAAAGGGATAGTTCACCCAAAAATGTAAATTCTGTCATCATTTACTCACTCTCAAGTTGTTCCAAACCTGTACAAGTTTCTTTCTTTTGTTGAGCACAAAAGAAGATATTCTGAAGAATGTTGGTGAATCCGGCTCATTGTATTTGTTGAACAATGGAAGTTTCCACAGAAAAACACAGCCTACGGCTGCGGCTCACCGCATTCAGAGCACATTTTCAAATATTTTTTGCAAGGGATGCGTCATGACATGCTCCTACCATTCCACTGAGAAGAAAACAGGCATCTGACATATTGAAGGAGTCTTCATTGACTGGCATTATTTTGAGCAATGTTAAAGGGATAGTTCACCCAAAAATGTAAATTCTGTCATCATTTACACACTCTCAAGTTGTTCCAAACCTGTACAAGTTTCTTTCTGTTGTTGAGCACAAAAGAAGATATTCTGAAGAATGTTGGTAACCAAACAGTTGATGGTAGCCACTGACCTCCATGCAATGTCAACTGTTTGGTTACCAACATTTTTCAAATCATCTTGTACTCAACAGAAGAAAGAAACATACAGGTTTAAAACAACTGGAGGGGGGAGTAAATAATAACAAAATTTTTGGGTCAAAAAATGGAAATGTTTAATGCTAAAGGCCACAAGCATTAGCTTAATTTACGATGTATTGGCTTCAATGATATCGCAAAGGGCAAACAAAGGTCATTTTGATGTATGACCACAGTCAATGATCCATGTTGAAGAGGTGTCCACTGGTCCTAACTCAAAGTGACCTCCCCTGCCCTTTGCTTGCAATACAAACATATCAGCACATTAAAGGGTTACTCCACCCCAAAATGAAAATTCTGTCATTAATTACTCACCCTCATGTCGTTCCAAACCCGTAAGACCTCCGTTCATCTTCGG